AGCGTGCTGAAAACTTTCCCATGAGGCGCGCTAACACGGTCTTGGCTACTATCGGTGCAATTGTTGAAGCCATTGTTTTTCAAGCTTTGTTTGCTATTGTCGTGCTGCTCATGTGGATCGCATCACGAGACATACTCCTACCCTCAGAACCTGCATGAGAAGCTTTTGGTCCCTAAACGACAGGATTCGGAGCTCGAGGGTTGGTTTCAATGAGAAGAAGTCATTCCACGCCCTAGACCGCAAACCCCGACCAGAAACCGTTTAAGTCTTAGGGTCTAAGGTTTAGGGCTTAGGGTTTAAACCTCGCTCTTCCGACAGCGCTGCACCCCAAGACCCTAAACCCCGAAACGTAGCTTTCATAAGTGCCTCAGACTCGGCTTTCTTCTTCAAGCGATCGAGCAGGGCATCCACCATCTTCTCCTGAACATGGCGATTTGCGTCAAACCAATGGACTCAAACCCTAAATCCGAAAGCTCGAGCTTCGGCTGCAAAGTTTCAGTTTAAGGTTCTGAAAAGAACCCAACTCCAAGCCCGAAACCCTGGATCCTAAGCCAAGCCGCTCAGTCAAGGACCTCGCGATCCTGGTGCCCAGAACCCTTTGCAATTCTCCAGCCCTTACAATGTTACAACAAGAAGGAGGGAATGATCATAAGAAATAATACTAGTAATGACAAGAGTATTACTAGTCGTGTTAATATTAACTACAAGTTTTAATTCATAAAATAAAAAACCATCATCATCACCATCATCATCATCATAGTAAGAATATGGTCGTAAAAAGCCCACAAACCTGAAAACCTCACCCAAAGGCCTCCCCCGGAATGGACTGGAAGTGACTGGGTTCGGGGGTTCAGGGTTTGGTGTTTAGGGCTTCAGGGGGTGAGGATTTCGGGTTTAGGAAAGTAGGGTTCCGGTGCCTTCTCAGAAGGCTCCTCGTGGCGACTGGAAGGTCTCTGGATGCAATGTAACAATATCACAGCATGATCACCCTAAGCTTAGGGTTTTATTTAGAGGGAGACCCTACACCCTTGGATACACAAGCCTGCAGACGGATGCAGGCCGTGCATCACCGGTGCATCCCAATCAAGTTCAGGATTTAATGCAGGTACAGGCAACGATGCTAAACAAGTAGAGTACGATGTGAGCGGGCATGACTACACTGCATATACTTGTGGCTGGTAAAGGGTATCCTAAACCTGTTCCCACACCCCAAATCCCGATCCCCAAACTCTGAACGCATTAGGCACCCCAGTTCAGATCACTCCCCCAAACCCATAGGTCCACAGGTACCTTCAACCTCAACGCCTCCATCCAGGCTCGGACCGCAGGCATCTAAACCCTAAGGCGCACTATAGGACTATGACAAGACTCATTATTCAGACCTCTGTACTACGGCCTAAGCTTAATGACTTTTGAAAACCCGTCAAATCCACAACGTTCTTGCCTCTTCTTCATGGAACTCTTCGACACTGCTGGCGGGGACTGCATACTGCCTTTCTGAATCAGGGTCAGACAGAGATGACAAAGATGAGAGGGAGTTTAGGGCTTTTGTTGCGGTTGAGGGTTTAGGGAGGGTTTAGGCTCCAGGGTAACTCTATGGTTTGTGGAGGCTGCGGTGTCTGACCACTTTTCGGAGCTTCGCTGCCTAAAGCCGGAGCATCCTCTGCACGAAGCAAGTTGCTGCCGACTAATGTCTACAACCTGGTCCCCAACCCTGAACCTAAAACCTGAACCCCTTAGTCCAAAAAACCTCTACAACTCGGACCCTAAACTTGAACCTGCGTCCCGCACCGTAGACTCTAATAACCGCCAGTTGCGATCAAGGGGGCGGGAGTGGGGGATTGCTGAAACAACTAACCAAAAAGAGGACATAGGGCTTCCCGTAGATAAGCGGATAGCTGGGACTATTAGAATAAACCTTAGAGGGGCACGTGAGACCTCCACAGCTGACCCGACAGGGTCTTGGGAGGGAGCTCAAGGCCAAAAGCTCCAAGCCATGAACTGAGGGCCCAGGCTTTGTTCTGAAGGCGATGCTGTGTGGATGTCACTCATGATGCCGATGATGCAACCACCACGATGCTGACAACAAGAACCAGGACGAGCAATGGGGGAAACATGACAACAACAATCGGGCTCCAACTCTGCTTCGTGTTGCATGGTTCATGTGCCTGGCAACGCTAGTGACTAGGACAGTCTTTTCCAAGAGAACCACCGAAAGCCATAATGACAGTCCTTGCTGCATGCATCGTGCTAGCCATGCTGGCCATGCTTACCACCTGCATCATATTCGTCGTCATCATCCGCTGCCTCGTCGCCCTCCCCTGCACGGCACAGCGCGCTGACCATCACCATCTCATGGTTCTCGACAGCACAAAAATGCCTATCAGAGTACATTCTGTTGTGGTATAGTACCGTATTTTACACGCCGGTACAGTAGAGTATAGTGTAGTAAAGTATAGTTAGTATAGTGTAAGTATGTTGGTTCATGACCATCTTCTTGCTCTTCACTGCCAGTGTCACCTCTGCACCATCCTGGCCTTAAGCGTCGGTGTCGCGCTTATCGTCATGACTATCGCTGGTACTACGCCCGTCCCGTTTTAGCTGCTCGGCTTGGGCCCCCACTTCTTGCCTTTGTCGATGCGCTTCTGCCGGTCCCACTCAGCCTGTTACGTCGGCGATGGCCGAGACAACGACCAAAAGGGAATCATCTACACTCCCCGTCTTGTTCACACTTCGTTACACTTTTGTTTTGTGTTGATATGTTCAGTTTTATGCTTCCTTCTTATTCGTATACGAACAAGCGGCCAAAGCCAGTGGTCGTAGCAGTCGTCGTCGTAATAGTTGGAGTAGCACTAGCAGCAGCACCAGCAGCAGCAGCCTCCAGTAGGTAGCCAGTATAGCCAGTGGCAGTAGCAGTAGCAGTAGCAGCAGCAGGTTATTCGTGGTAGTGATACTTCGTGGCAGTAGCAGGGCTAGTGCTGGGCTGTGGCCATCCCTGGCGGTGATGGTGCTGGCGGTGGTGGGTGGTGGCGGTGGTAGCAATGGTACTGGTGGTACTGGTAGTAGTGGTGGTGGTTGAGTTAGTGGTGCTAGCCGTGGTATCAAGCGCAGTGGTAGTTGTAATTGACGCAATGTTAGCAATCGTGTGTCGGCAAGCACGCTCGTACTTCTGAAACGCTACGCCGTCTCGATCCCGATCCCTGCCCTTACACTTTCTGAAGGTTGTGCTATCTCCGCTGCCTTCGAAGCCAGACCACAAAAGCCAGAGTCCACACGCTGTCCACGTTCTTTCTGCGGCAACTGCGAATGCACGAATGAATAGACTGTACCTAATCGGAAGAGCGTCCCTTCAGGACGAAGCCCAGACAGAAACCAAAAACATCTGCCTGCAGGAAAAAGCCTTCTTTGAAGGCAAAAAACGTCACGTAGCTGGTCACCCGTGCCAGTGCCTTCTAGGGCACCTGACCCTAGACTGGCAATAAATTATTGGAAGTTTCTGGTACAAAAGCTACTCGTCAGTCAAAATCAAATCGAAAAGCAGCCACTCGCAAGTGCAAGCGACGACACCCTTCGGCACTCCGACCGGTCTCCCTCCAGGCCCAGCTGCAGAAACCTCGGGATTGCCTGGTTCCGAGCAAAGTCTGCCGCGGTCCAATTCTTGGAATTTCGGAGGTCCAGCCTAGCACCAGCCGCGATCAGAGCCGCGGCGGCCTCGAATTGAGCCGACCGGATAGCCTGCATCAGCGGCGTGCTGCCATTCAAGTGATAGGCAAGCATCTTCACAACAGACGAAGTGCCGAATCGGTGCTGCAACGACTTCGTAGCCAAGAGCAGCCGGCCCAGTGCGCTGAAGTCGCGTGAGCTACTCATCTGAAAGTCGACGTCGGCGCGCAGGCTTATCAATCGCTGCACCCCACCCTTGAATGCTGTGGCATCGAAGAGTGCCCGAGAAAGCTCCCACGAATTTGGGAGGGCCTGCGCCACCAGCTCCTCTAGCGCCTCTGCCGCCGAAAGGCCAGCTGCACACTGCAAGGCAGAGACGCCAAACAGGCTCCGGGAGAGTGGCCTGGTACCCGACGCACATAGAAGCCGAATACCCTCTGCGTTGTCCGCATTCGCAGCATGCAGGACAGCCGCTGAAAATCCGCCCTCGAGAGAAGCTCTTGCCGCGAGAAGCAAACGAGTGGCCTCGTGGTGGTGGAAGAAGACCGCCAGATCCAAAGCCTGGGCTCTTCTCGTAGTTACCATAAGTAGTAAGGACACCATCTTTTCTACGATAGATCTCCATTATGGCTAATATGCATACCATGAATGTATGTATATATATATATGTGTATATATATATTTTTTTTAACTATATTCCTTTAAGAAGAATGTATATTCCTTACAGAAGAAGCCCAGGAAGCCGACATCCAAGGCGGAAAGCCCAGCATTGGGCTAATTCCTTCGATGTACGCCGATTTACATCGGCGCGCTGCTCCAGCAAGCCTCTCAGCACCTCAGCCACGAAACTCGCAGCTACTTCTTTTTTGTGTGGGAAGGACGGAGGTCCCGATGCAAAGCATTCTTGAATGCACTTCCCAGTTCTTTCCTTCAATACTTTTCTTCTATGCTTCCATGTTTCCTTCCATCACTCATTTTATTCATTCCATCTTTATGCATCCATTCCCGCCTTGCTGATTTTCAGCTTACCTTCCTTGCTGTTGTCCTTCCGTCTTTCCCTGCGTACGTCCTTCCTGGCAGCCTTCCTTCCTTGCTACATTCCCTCCGCCTTTGCTTCCGTCCTTCCTGCTGCGTTCCTTCTTTGTTTCCTCCCTTCCGTGGGAGTTGTTCTGCTGGAAACCAGAACACATCTGGAGTTTTTCTCGAGCTTTTCTCAAGCTCGGACGCAAGCGAAGCAAAGCCAGTGAAGACACGAGGATTTCTTTCTACTGCGGAAACCATGGACCACAGCAGGAGCCGAGCTTCAAACAAAAGTCGTAACTGCCTCAGCCAAGCACCTGTATGTTGCCGGACAGAGTTGCATAGTGCAGGGGCCACCATCCTGCGCTGTCGCCCTTGCCGACTCTCTTCAAGCCGTTTTGGTGCAGGAACTCCACCACCACATCACCCTCGCAGCTGGGCAACACGGTCACTGGCTCAATCTGAAGCCCTCGCAGGTAAACTGTCTGGAGATTAAAGTGGCGTCGGAATCCCGGCAGGTCGCCCTCTCGCAGGCAGTGGTTCAGCTTCTGCGTAAGGATGCGCCGCAACACCGGGGCCAGCTTCGAGCGATCCTCTGCTTTACCGAAATCGCCTTCCCCAACAGGGCCCCTCGGAAAGGACAGTACTGTGCCGAGAGCTTCAATGGAGGTTTCGCTGCGAATGAGAACCCAAGTGCTGTTTGGCGACAGTTCGCGTGCCGCTCGTTCTAGGCGACACCACCCCCTGCTGCTCCAGGTCGCTGGCGTTAGCACTCTTCTCTCCAAGGGGCAGTCGAGAACCGGGCAAAGTGCAATGAAAACTTCGCACCTGGCCACATACGCTGGGATGCTGTTAATGGCCTTTGCTTGATGAAGATTGTCTGTTTCACCGGAAACCCGCGTCGGATGCCGTAGCTGCGGGCACGAGAAATAGTCGTACCAGAAGAACATTGCATGCGTCTGAAATTCTTTCATGGGAAGGGGCTTGGCCGTTTGCACCACGGCTTCTGTAACGGGATCCAAGGAAACGGACCCAGAGCTGCTCAGCATCCGCGTTACTGCTTCCTGCAGAGTGCGCATCTGCTTAAAGTCGGGATCTGGGTGCCGTTGTGTAAGCCACTGGTGCGAAACGAAAGCCGCCTTCCCCAAGCCAACATCGAAGTCCACGAGCTTGCCCCACGCCTTGAACAGGCAGGGATGAGGGCCCCGAGGGAGTGGGAGTGAACAGTTCGAAAGAAGGGGAGTTCAACTCCTATGACAGAAGGCGCCGCCGCCGCCCCTTTGGGTTCAGGGCTGAGGTGTCTGCTCGTCGGGACTCCGACGAGATATGCTCCGTCCGGCCTTCAACTTCTCGTGCGGCTCCACCTTCGTCATGCTTAGCAGCACGTCCGCGGTCACGGTGTACATGGGGAAGAGCATGGGGGCATCCTGAGCCATGCGATGGTGGCAACCCATCCCTCCAGCATGGTAGCTGCAGCGATGATCGGCAAATCTGCGACAGACAAGGACACTGTTACTAAACCAGAGATGACAATAATGGGGCCCAGTGATGTCGTCAGTAGCGGCAGAAGCGGCAAAGTCAATGGCGCCAGAAGTCAGTAGGAGCAGGAGCAGCAGTGGTAGGAGGAGGGGGTGCAGTGCAGCAGCAGCAAGCGTGGCTAGCAGAAGTAGTAACAATAGCAGCGGCAGTAGAAGGAACAGTGGCGGTGGCAGTAGCAGCAGCAGCAGCAGCAGCAGCAGCAGCGGGAGGCGGAGGAGCAGTAGCGGCAGCAGTAGTAGCAGTTGCATCGCAGTAGCAGCAGCAGCAGCAGCAGCAGCAGCAGCAGCAGCGGGAGGAGGAGGAGGAGGAGGAGGAGCAGTAGCAGAAGCAGTAGCAGTGGCAGTGGCAGTAGCAATCGCAAAAGTAATAGCAGTGGTGGTGGTAGTGGTGAGACCTTACATGCACGATGCCCAGGGGCGTCTGCTTCTTCTGGTAGCGACTTGGCATAGATCTCCAAAGGCGTCCGGGTCCCGGAGACGCAGCAGGCCATGGCATGCGAATCGGGGCGAACTCCAAAGGTCGAGAGTCGAGAAACCCCGAGCGGGGCCGGTAGGCGGCCCTAAAACCCCTTCGGGGTTGGGGCTCCAAGCCCGCCTGACTCGCTCACATCGAAAGAGTTCGAGCCCGAGATGCGACGGAGTTTCAGGGCCGCTCAGAGCTTGGACTTCGGCTGCATGCCGGGGCCATGGAAGAAAACTCTGAGCTTGCAGCAGCTGCTGCAGCTCCTGCTGTGTTGATGCTGCTGGCTTTATAAAGCTGGTACCGATAATGCTGTTGCTGGTAATGCTGATGCTTAGTTTAATGTTGAGTTCGATGTGTCTGTCGAAGACGGTGTCGGTATAGTGTCGGTTAGGGCTGTTGCTGTTGCTGCTGCTGCTGCTGCTGCTGCTGCTGCTGCTGCTGCTGTTGCTGTTGCTGTTGCTGTTGTTGTTGCTGTTGGTGGTACTTTTGCTGTCAAAAGACCGAGCAGGCCTCCTTCTTCATGAAGTACTTGTCCTGAGGACGTCACAACCCCGAGCCTACAATTTGGCTTCGTAAATTTTGATAGGCCGTGGCTTTGCAAAAGGCTTCGTCGGGATGTGTGTCTTTAGAATTTTGGTTGCAAAGCTGTCGGAGGATGCCGCTTTCGTACGAGCACTTGGCTTGGGGTTGGGGCCGGAGATTTGGATAGCCTTCTCACCGAAACCTGACCTGCAGACCCTTAGCGCGGCCCCTTCGCCCTTAGCAGGGGCCCGATAAGGGTGAGACTTACCCATGCTTCCCACCAAGCCGGAGCCATACCCTAAACCCTTAAATTGTCCCGAAAGGTATCGTTGAGTACAGAAGGTTCGTCTGTTGGCATTGCTTAGTCCCGCCGCCTACGTGGGGCCTTAACAAGTAGCTTATAGGCAGCGATATAGGCAACCTAGGTGGGATTGTCTTTGCAAGAACCCGACTGCTGAACTTCTTGCGAAACGAAGCAGGGCCTGGAGAAGACTGATGAGCCATTCGAAAGCAGCTGTGGCTGTGGATGACTTCTGGCACAAGATCACCCAAAACAGTGCCGCGACCACCGCAACTCTGAGTAGCCGACAGCCCACAATACTATCATGCTACGATAAAAGTACGAAGGCGCTACTCGAAGGGGTTTAGGGTGTAGTATACTACAGTATCATAAGGTATTAGTATGGTACATTACAAAAACAAAGTATAGTACAGTATAGTACAGTATAGTATAGTACAGTACAGCATA